GGCTTGAAACATTTCCGCATGATTGGGAGCGGGGATAGCTTTGAGTGCAAGGCTTCTGATACAACATAATTAAAGCACCTAGCTTAGTCAGTTGATTGACCAAAAGTTGGCACCTCTGTTTCTCAATCAAATAAAAAGCCATATAGGTGTCTCATGAGAGTCAAACTAGGTCTCAAATTCTTTCTTTGCCTCAAGGGGGGAAATTACCTTATCTAAGTTTGACACGCTTTCAATGTTGAGTAACTGTTGTTGCAGAGCAATGATGTTTTTTAGAACTATATATATGTTGGTCTGTCATTTATTCCATTTAATTATAGGTCGTGATAGTCAAGCCCAAAGTTACAGATAGTGATAGTGATGGGGAATAAAGATAATTTAATTTTATATTAGTTTGTTCAAGTTCATTCTAATTTTCTAGTTAGATTAGAATTAGGTTATTGTTTATTTAATTTTTTTCCTTCTCGAATTAGGTTTGTTGAGACTCTATATAAAGAGGGCTCATGCATTGTAAGACTTGGACTTTTATTATGAAATAAATTAATACTTTCTCGTCCAATTTCTTCTATATTTTCTCCTTTTTCGTCTCTCTACCTCTTTCTTTTCTCAATCTTGTTCTTTTTTAATTGTGTTCGTTTCGTCCTACTCAATTTACTCAATTTTCCTCCCTCTAAATGCTCTCACTCTTCTTCTTTCGTCTCTCTCTTTTTCCTCCTCTTCTCAATATTGTTCTTGTTCAATTGGTTCTACTTCAGATAGTCAGGCTCTGTCTTGCGTTAGTTTTTAAAATCCTTCCTAACATCTATGCAGAAATTGTTTGCATATATACACTTACAAGTTACATTGTTGTTTGTGAAAATCCTCTACTACCTGCCTAATTGGACTCGAAAGTTGCAAGGTTTATCTGATTAACACATTGTATATATTCTCGATCTGACATCATTTACAATCAATCAGGCCTACTTTCCACCAATTTCTCAGCCAGAAGGATTACCTCTGAAAGTACATGATTTGAAGGGGAAAGAATGGTTATTTCAGTTTCGGTTTTGGCCGAACAATAATAGCAGAATGTATGTCTTAGAAGGAATCACTCCTTGTATACAGTCAATGCAACTGCAAGCAGGTGATGTAGGTAATGGTTTACCTATATGCATTACTTGTGTGTGTGTGTTTTTTTCTCTCTTTTTCTCTTGAAATTTTTTTATCTGGTTTATCTGCTTTTGTGGCTGGGAAGTTTCCCTAGTTTTAGTTTTTTGAATGATGGTCCCCTAATTAAGATGAAATGGAAGTTGTACACTTCTATTAATATGTACCATATCAGAGACTTTAGTATCTGTCTTATTGATTAACCAAGTGTGGAGCTTAATCTTTTTTCTTTCTTTTCTGTCCTACCATCATTGCTTTGGAGTTTATTTGGTTCTAAGATTGGTCAAATGTATATGTATCATCTTAATTCTTGTTCTCATTTCCCTGCACAATTTTGGCAAAACAAAAATTGTGCCACTTTGCCAATCAAATGTAGTCACACTTCACTATTTGATAGTTTTCTTGAATATCATCTATCAGGCAGTGGTAAAAGGAGATGTACGTCAATGTGATGTTATTGAGTGTAATACTTCTTATGAGTTTATAGCTTCTTTCTTTGAATTGCAAAATGAGGTAGGGTATTTCTTGTCAGTGACATTCAGTAGGCTGGAGCCAGAAGGGAAGTTGGTCATGGGAGGCAGAAAAGCTTCAACTGTTCCATCCGATCAGGTTTGTCCTTGTCCAACCAAATTTATTTTCCATTTTTAATCACAAATCTGCACTCTAATAATCTTGTGTATTTGCCATTACCCTTGGTGACAATTAGCAATCAATGCTGTTAATGGCAGTTTTGGACCTTTTGGCAAGCATACATATCCTTGAAACTGCTATATATAGCTTGACTTTGAATTCGTGAAGTTGGAAAGTTGTTGTAAGAAGTAAGTCAACAACATATATATTTTTGCATTCCCACATCGTTCTCTAATGAGACATGTATTTTACGACTATAGAAGCAATTTGCACTATCGTAGTGGATAATGCTATCTAGCGTCGGTGTTGTTAACATCAGTTTAGGTGGCAACACGTGTCGGTAAATGATAGAGTTGAACATATCACTTAATGCCACCTAGGCTAGACTAGTGTTAGATAGCATTACTCCTTTTATAAACATGCCCGGCCACTGGACACTCATTGCAAATAATACTCAGTTACGATCTCCGGTGAGTTCATGGAGGATATTATATTACTTTTTCTTGCTTTTTCCCCACTATTTCACTGCTTTTCTTTACACATGGAGTTCTAGGATTGTTCGAAAAGGTTTTATGGGACGTGATAGAGTATCTGAAAGCTCATGAGAAGAAAAAGAAAGGGGGAGTAGTATTCCAAAAGACTTGTGTTAAAAAAATTGGCTTTGTGGACTGCGGCAGCCAATCCCCATACCAGAAACATTAGTTGAACAGTGAAACATAAGCACTGTTTGAGAAGCTGGATAAACACACCAGTGATGGAAAACTGTCAGTTAATGGATTTTGACGTTAGAGAGTGTGGTGATGGAGTATAGGGGAGTCTTCATAGTAGACGTGCCCCTTACTGATGCTATATGATTAAAATTAAATGGGGGAAGAATAGATCAGTGAAAAATGGTTACGTTCTTGATGAAATACCCTGTATTTGTTCTTGTGTTCTCAATTTATTGTTTAATATTTATTTTGTTACTTCACACACTCTTTACATTCTTTCTAATTTGTTTCGAATTGAAACTTGAAGACCTGACTTATATTTTTTCATCGTATTGTTCTTTTTACAGGGAAATGAAGCTACTGCAACTGGAGATAGAACTCCTGGGGATGATAGTGATAAAAACAAATTTGGGGAAGTTGCAATAAATGGTCATATAAAGGGTAATTTGATGCCTGCGAACTTTCCAGCAGTTAACCCTGCTACTAAGGTAGATTCAGAGAGTAACCGGTATGGAACTGATAAATCAGGGTGCACAAAGAAGGAAATACTTGAAAATAAGTCTGTTGTTCGTAGTAAGAGGAAGAATAGCGTCTTCAGTTTGAGAAGTAAACACCTTAGGATTGACAGTGAGGAGATGATGGAACTGAAGCTCACATGTAACCAAGCTCAAGGACTTATGCGCTCACTTCCTGAAAATATTCCCTCAGTTTTTGTAGTAGAAGGCTGTGAAATTGAAGAATTTGAGGTATTAGACTCTGCTATATCAAATATTTGTTGGAGCTTATATATACATATCAGGTGGTTGCGTATTATATTATGTTTGTAAGAATTGTTTCAACTTGAGACTTGATCTTGTGAGATGATAATGATCCATGTTCTTTGGAAAAGAAACCACCAATTAGGATTAAAGGTAGGGAGAAGTAAATTCAGCACACCTTTTTTTTTTTTTGTCCAAAAGGATGTTAGTGAATTTGTCTGATTTGACACCACTAAATGATGCATAAACTATTTTATCAAGACTGAACTCCAACTGTGAAGTTATCGTTGACCATAATTTATCTCCCACATTGTCCTTTTAAGTTTGCTGGCAAGGTAAATGTATGCATAATAATTTTTAATGATTATATAACTATACACTTTTTTGCATAATGACCCAGCTTAAGGTTTTGAGAACCTGTGTTTTTCATGCTTGACTAAACTATATGCTAGATGTCAATGTGTATGCCAAGGGCATAAATTTCTTTTCACACTCCTGATTTGGTTATCTTTTTGGCAGGATGCACCAATTATCGGAAGGCCAACTATTCCTGAGATAGATCGTTTTGGGTACAATGCTTTTCTTTGATAAATAGCTATGTATTTTGCCCTTCTTTTCCTCTCTAGTGTCATCATCACTTTGCTTGTGGAATGTTTATTTCAGTGAAAAAATCCAATGGGTAGAATGTGAGGATTGTTTCAAGTGGCGCAAAGTGCCTGCAAATGCTCTTCTTCCATCAAGATGGACCTGTTCTGGCAATGTATGGGGCCTTGAAAGGTATTGAACTTTCATATATAATTACATATTCTTCATTCCAAACTCTGTAAACTTTGTCCTCATTTTTGTGTCTGTCCAAAGTCGGTTTCAGTTTGTGCCTTTCCTGGATTGCAACTATGTTTATATAGCCATTGGCTTCAATCTGAGAAAGTGTAATTTTTCGACCAATATTCTGCTGTAATTGTGTTTCCATATGTTTCCAATTGTTTTACAAGTCCTCTCAATTTACCTGTTCTTTCCACATCAGATCTCTATGTTCAACTGCTCAGCAATTAACTACAGAACAGCTTGAAGATATATTATCCACTACTACTGAAGGTAGATTCCTTTCTTCTCTTACATGTTGCTTGTCTTGCATGCATGTCACGTCTCTTTTGCTAATGGTTTTATAATTTTAATACAGTGAGCAAGGAAAAGAAAATTACTGAACAGAATTCAGATCTAGTTGTGGCACAGGAAGGACTCGATGCACTTGCTAATTTAGCTATCCAAGGGGATGGAGTGGACCTTCCAGCTTCATCGCAGACTAGAACGAAGCACGCTGGCTGTAAACTCGACTGTACATGCACTGTCTGCATTCAACCTTCTGATGGAAACGACCCAAAGCACAAGCAAACATGCGATTTTGCTGACTCAGAATCATTAAAGCATCATTTCCGAACCTTGATGGAGAGATGTGAGAAGAAACAATTGGCAAAGGAAGCTGAAAGTGCCTGTCAGAAGCTGCATGTGGATACCGATACTTATCTGAGCAGTGACACAGGAAAAAATTGTCTAAACCAGGAAGAGGCAAGCCAAGGGGGCTGTCTTGATGACCCTAATGAGAGAAAATCCTCAGTCTCTCCTTTGAAAGGTCAAATAGACCTTAATATCCAGCCAGAGCGTGAGGATTTGTCCCCTTGTTCAGATTCTGGGGCTATGAAACGCTTGCTCGAGGATGCTACACAGAACAATTTCATGCCACATAGATCTTCGAGTTCTGGCATTAGCAGAGATTTACTCGGTAAGCAGATGCAGCCAGACGGGATTGGTGGAGCCAGTTTGAGTAATTGCATTATTGTAGTAGATGGATGCTATCAGAAAACTAACGCTGACCATTGAATGACAGCTGGTACCATATTCTCGACTGTTAGAAATAGTACTCTTGTGGGATAGGACAGTAATTAGACGATGTTCTGTGAGGGTGGAGTCGAAATTTTGTCTCTCTCATCTACTCTGCCATCTGGAATCGTAAATTCTGTACATATATAGGAGTAGATGTCTAGGGATATATTGTGGCTATTTCATTTTTGTTCCTACAGCTAGGATTTGGGGCAAAATGTTGTGGTAAATGAAGCTGATGATTTTGCCCTTTTGGATATTTTGATGCACAGTGGAATTATTGGGGATGTAATTAAAGCTTAAATGAAGTAGCTGATTTTACCCTTTAGGATATTTAAGTTTTGCCAGTTCAGCTTAGTTTACACCTAATTGTAACTTCTTTGCATTCAATGAATCTTACCAATTTGAGTTGCACTACTTGTAGAAATGGACAGATAGAGAACCATTCTAATTGCATTTTCCTTCACCCTTGGTCTTCAATTCTAAGGTTCCAATTGTCCAGCAGAACTTGTTGCATCCTATGGATTGCTCGAATTAGTGGTGCTTATTATGTGCACTCATTTGTCATTCTATGGTTACTATTAAATCAAGATTAGCATGCATGTAAAATGTAGGGGGTTAGAGAGAGAAGCTCTCAAACTTTAGTGAAATAAACACTCACTAGAATTGCCCTTTGCTTTTGAGAGCTCGTTGAAGTTTTATCTTACCTTCATAAATTGGTAACCTCAAATCCGGCAACACAGTTTTTGTTAAGCTGTCCAGTTTTATAAAAATTGTATTTGAAGATTTCAAGTCCCTTGGAGTCTCAAAGTTCGGCCAAACAGGTGGCCATGTTCATGAAAGATTCAAAGTGCTTTCTTTGAATTATTTCCCTTGAAGTTTGGTTGAAGACCGGATAGATTGGGTTAGCAATGCCCTTGAAAAATTCAAGCTTTTCATCTCTGGGAAGATTTGAAGAGGTAAGAGGTCATATGCATTGTTTCAAGCAGTTTCTATGCAAAGTTTAGCCCAGTTTTTTGGTGCTTTTCCTTGGTGATGCTCGATTTTAACCTCAATACTTGAGGCTGCTTCGACTGTCACTATTTGTGGGGAGTTTCGGCCAGCTCAATGTATTGGCAGCTTCATCCCAGGTTCAGTTTGTTGGCAGAGTTTCTATGTTCCATGGTCGAGTTTGTTCCCAGCCCCAGGTTCAAATTCGAATCAAGTCTACATCTTGGAGTTTGGCCAACAGCTTATACACTTTATTCATTCAGTTTCCTTGGAAGTTTGGATGTTTATATTCTTGAAGATTCATGGTTTGTCTTGGTATGAAAACCGGCCCAGCAGATTCATGTAAAGTTCAGTTTGTTGGCAGAAATCGAATTTTTTCCTGGCCCAGATTAAAGTTCGAATCCAGCTTAACTTCTTGAAACCTGCCAACAGATTTTGTGCTTTATTCACCATGTCTCCTTGGCTGTCTCGACCTTGTTACTGAATCAGGTGAGTTTGGCCAGTTTGATGTATTGGTCAGCTTTGCTTCAGGTTCGTTTTTGTTGGCAGATTTCTAGTCTTCTTGTTCGAGTTTTTCCTAACCCCAGGTTAAGTTCGAATCAAGTCACACATCATGCAGTCTGGCCAACAGTTTTTGCACTCACATTCTGCCAGTTTCCTTGGATATTTATTCATCCTTGTTCATGGTATATTGAAACCTGCCCAGAAGGTTTAATGCACTCTTGAAGATCCAAGTTAATGTACTCTAGAAGATTCAAGCCCGTGCTCACTGATTTTCGATTGCTTCTTGCGATTGATTCGAATTTTTGCGTCCCATCCTTGGCGAAACTCGATTTCAGGCAGTCATTTACTTGGAAAATTCATACACATTCATGTGTTCTTGGTGCTGGAATTATCCATTTCGGGAAAGAATAAAATTTCCCCCCACCCCATTTTGAAAATTTGAATTTGAACTATCTTTACCGGATTGGAAATATTAGAATATCACAGGAAATTTCAGGTAGCTTTCCATTATCCATTTTGGGCAAAGTTCTGGAAAAATCAAATTTAGCTTTGATTTGAATTTTGAATTTTTCGACCTCCTTTTCCGGCTATATATGGCCACTGTAACTTGTATTATGCACTGCCCCTTGCATCTTCCTTTGTTTGGCTTACATTGTGAAGGAAGTTAAAGGCTGCACGGTGCTTCAATCCCAGAAAGGCAGTATGTTGAAATTCTGGCCAAAGCAGTGTGTATGTATCGCAGCCGGTCAGCAGCTTGCTTTGCTGTTGAAGAGATCATTGTTAGCTGGTTCGTTACTCGTTGGGGAAATGAATTCCACCTTGCAGTAACCAGCATTATTGACTGCCTTATGCAGTAATTGATACCCAATATTTTTTTTATTTTGGCAAGTAAGCTCTCCAACACAATCCCACTGACTTGAACGATGGATTAGTTCTAAGGCATTAGCTAGCCTAAATGTGTAGATGAAAGTTGTTACGTTTGATTGACTTTTCAATCTTTGTTTTGGGTCATTAGACCTGTTGTAAGGTTTCCTTTTGTAAGCCAGAGTATATACGGAGTAGTTGTACTCAAATTTTGATCTATACAATTCTATTTACCGATCAAAAAAAAAAAAGATTAGCATGCATGTGAAGAACAGATAGTATGACACTTAAATCTCCCTAAGCGTAGTACACCAGGGGCCAAAAAGGTCTCAAGTTGTAATCACAAAGCCTTGGAGGAAAATGGCCTCTGTGGAAGCAAAACCATCTTCCTAATTCGAGCAACAGGGAGTTTTATGTGTACCTTCAGGTACGACCTTAGTGAGTAGTAGCACACACTACAACAAAAATAACATTTTGCAATGTTCAAAAAACGTTGCCGAATACCTTTTGCAACAGTCGGACTTATGTTGCAAATCTCGATGTTAGGTCGTAGAGTAGAAGGATATGACAACCTTTTTTTGAATGTTACTAATAACCTTGCTAATAACTTTTTCGCAACGTTTTTTTGCATGTTGCCTATACTTGTATCCTTATTTTTTGCAACATTTTTTTTACTGTTGCTATATGTCATTTTACATTTTTTTTTTAATTTTTCTTATTTGTATAGTAATTTGCACAAATCAACCACAAAATAAGATAGAAGATGGCAATATCAAACAACTCCAATAATCAAGATTAATTGTACTCCTAAATGTAACAATATTCATACAAAATCCAGATCCAAAGTTTTGAAACGTCTAAAAATTCAATATATTTTCAAAAAAAAAAAAAAAAAGAAGGAAAGAAAGAAAGAAATACCATAAACTCTAAGTAGTGAGTAAAAAAGCACCACCGACATTCTTAATGTTCTTCTCAGCGATTTTCGACGCAAGTTTACCATTTTTCTTATTTCTCCAACTGCTTTGGAGCATTAGGAGCTTCAAAGTCGTTGAATTCACCCAAATCGTCCACGTTCTGCAACCCGACAGTCTTCCTTGGAGTACTGTATGCAAAATGCCAATGCTTTGCAATCAAAGTCTGTTTTGTTCAAGTAAAAACCACAAGTCAAGATTCTAAGGTGTACAATATAGTTCAAAGCGCTCGATGTACAATATAGCTCTACGGGACGGGCCCTAGAGTCTAGAGAAGATAAAAGAAAGATATTAGTTCAAGTGGTTCTGTGGCTCGATAGCCTGTTGTGTTAAAGGGATGTTGTCATTTGTGGCAACGGTATTTTAGAAAAAAAAAATGTGATTTAGTTGCATTTCTAATCCTAAATCAAACTTTGTGGAGTGTTGATCGCATGCTTTTGCTTATCAATTCAATGTAATGTAAATTCCGACTTGGTAGATCTTTTGAAGAAGGTAGAACTTGTACATAGATGGAAATATGGTTTTTGTTTTATTTCTTTCGCATAGTTCTAATTTATAAACCCGTTTCTTGACTTCGCTTACGTTTTCGCTAAATTATTGTTAAGAAATTGAATCCTTAAGTTAAGATGACGACTCAAAGTAGTTTAGAAGGTTCATTCACTGTCTTTAACAATCAAGGATCGATAAGAACAAGTTTTAAAGTCAATTTATCAAACCATGACAATCTATCGTGTTTTACGTCTCTATTTATTGGTACCTAATGCTATCAAAAATCGTACTTGTTGATTTTCGAACTTGACAACTGAGAATGAGTATGAACGAGATCTTCCGGTACCTGAAACAAAGTCATCGAGGTGTTTCCTCGTCGCCCTCCGATGCTTAAGTCAGAAAGAGAATTTGTGAAGAAATATGTGCTGAAAATTATGTAAAACGTACCTTAATAATGTGTTGGAATGATCTATTTATAGAGGTAGGTAGTGCATTCCTAGTATGATTATACTGTTGAAATCCCTAAGAGTTTTACTGTGATTGGAAGTTGTAACTTGATTGGTTTTGTATCACCTATGTGTTTGGATAAAGATGGAACTTTGGTGGTAGGATCCTTTCAGGATAAGGTACCATATTATCAGCAGGACTCTATTTCTTAGAGTTGGATAAGCCTTGACATGAAGGAGAGTCCTTCTAATCAAGGAGTACATGGCATGAGGTTTGGCCGTAAACTCGAGGAAGACCTAATGGGGCGAGGATAAGCAATCCCGAGGAGACATGACCGAGGAGATCATGAGGTCAAGATGGCCGAATATGGCCAAATGGACAAAGCACTCCTCAGGCTTGGATCTCGAGGTCGACCTAAATTGGACTCATCAATACCATATTTCACAGCTTTTCTCGAAGTTGTCAATAGCACGCCATAAAGGTACAATAAACGTTGAAAACGATGTGCAGGTTATTAGTCATATTGATATTGGAGCTCAATCGATAAGCTAGAGTTGATTTGGTGTCCAAAAGATAAAACACAAAAAAGATGATATTGAGAAAAAGATAGAATATTATGCACCTGAATATGCATGTCATTCAGTCTTGAGCTTTCGCTCGTATAATTTTGCATCGTAGGTATGACAATGCATATATTTGAAGTTAGTGCCTATTCTCATACTTCGAGAGAAATGA